GGCGTTCATTTGCAGGTTTTCACGCCTTTCTGTTATTTCCTCATCACTTAGGACTGCTTCGGAGTTCCTTGAGCATTTATTTGTCTGCTTAGTGTTTCCCAGTCCCGCTGCCATGGGGACCCGGGGCTCCTCTGGCACCTAGAAGGCGGCTGCGCCCTAAGGCGCGCTCCAAGGGCTGTTCTAAAGGAGCAGACGACTCCCTGAGGGAGGCACTGGGGAAACCACAACTCTACAACAGCATCAAAAGGGCAATACTTAGAAAGGAAAAAGAGCAGGTAATAAGGGTGAGGTAATGGGTCTGCTGAAGAAGTGAGTCCAGTCTGTGCCCTGGCACAGCTAGCGACAGCCTCCCTGTGGGAAGGAAGGCTCCCATTTGTATTTACTGTCAGGAAATCCCTTCTGACCAGTGCTTTAGGACTGGCTTTCAAAGAGCCAGAGAGGAAAGGAATGCCCACCCAAATCAAAGCCAAGAGCAGCTATCAAATTAGAAATGCAAATAACATTCGACAAAGAAATTCCACTTCGCGGGGATTATTCGACAGATATTCTCACGTACGTGCAACATTATTCACTGCGGCATTATTTGCTGTAGCAAAAGACTGGAACCAATCCATACGCCCGTCTCACGGAAGCCGCTGAATGAAACGATTCACACAGTGGATTACTGCACAGACTAGGAAGGAACGAGGAAGCTCTCTCTGGGCCGCCGTGCAAAGCTCTACAGGCTGCATCGTTCCCGGCAAGACGCGGGGTGTGAAGCTGAGTGCTGCAATGTCACCGTTTGTGGAAAAACCAGAGGGGTGGGGAGTCATCTCTGCCAGGCGGGCACAAAGGACCCTGAAGGGTTCCAAGAAAGTAGGAACAATGGCGGGGACAGGAGGGCGGGGACTAGCCCACGGAGGGGAAGCCCCGGAAGGAGGCGCCGAGGAACGCGTTTTAGACGCCAGAACGCGTGGACGCACCTGGATGCCAGGGGGGATGCTGTAGATGATCCGGATGGTCTTGCAGTCCGGGTGGCCCGGCAGGGAGTGGGGGATGAGGTGGTACTCCATCTTCCCCGGAGGCTGCGTCCCTGTCTTCACCCCATAGATGGTCTTGCACGTTGGACACTGCAGACTCCCGTCCTGAGACAGCCGGAGTAGAAAACGCTTTGGTAACGATCTCCCCGCCCAACCCCGGATGGAACCAGAGATGGAGGACTGAGGACCTGGAGGTGTGGAGGGGGATATGCACTGAACCGAATACCAGACCTTTGACCCGGCCCAGCTAACTCCAAAGTAGCAAGAAAGAAAATCCAGAAAGAGCCCTGAGCTCCATTCCAGTGCATAGAGAAGAGACTCCCTCTCCTCGAGGGGGACCAGCTGAACGGCACAGGGACCCACGGGAGTCTCTCTGACCACTCAGTCCCTGCTGGGCGGGTCACACAGCAAGCATTTCAGAGCAGCAACTGCCAAACTAAAGAGCGTCACTCACCCAGGGGGGTTCTCTCAAATGAAGACATCTGGACCCCACAAGAAGACCCCATGGGTGAGGACAGGGAGGCTGCAGGGCGCGGCGGCCTCACACTAAAATCACACTGCCAGAGTTTGCTTCTCAGCTCCCCGGGCTACAGGCTCTTTGGCCTTGGGCATGTTAATTAACCTGAGACTCAGCTTCCACGCAGAACAAGAAAATTATTAACATCCATCTTACTCTCTTGCTGGGGAGGTAAATGAGGTGACCTGCAGGGAGGGCTTTGCACCGGCGTCTCTACCCATGCCCGCTGGGTGTGGACACTGTCCCCAGGAGAAGGGAACTGGGATGTCATGCTGTGACCTCTGAGAGTGACTTGGAAAGGGTTGAAACTTGGGCTAGAAGGACTAAGACAGAAGGCGAAGCTAACTAAAGTGGGGGACGATGCCATCACCTACAAGGCCAGAAACTGCAGATCCCTGGAGTCAAGGAGCCTCGCTTTCTAATATTGGCAAAGAAGGAGTTACAGGTCCAGTTTATCTACTTGCTTCTGTGATGCTGAGGTCTGAGTCAGCACCTTCGCACTGGGTTACCCTCCCAGCTAAATTTTAATTTTAATGTTATTTAGAGACAGGGCCTTCCTAAGTTGCTAAGCTGCCTAGACTGGCCTCAAACTTTCAACCTTCCTGCCTCAGCCTCCGAGTGCTGGGATAACAGATGTGAGTCACCACGCCCAGCTTTTTAAAGAAGGGAATTGAGGCACTGTGAAATTTCACTGTTTGGGCCAGTGAGATAGCTCAGTGCACTAAGCGCCTGCTTTGGCAGGCGCAGGGACCAGGGTTCCATCCCCCGGTCCTGTATGCTGCACTAGCCCTCCCCCTGGAGCGCACTGAGCCATTGACTGAGACTGGGCATGGTGCGCACACCTGTAATCCCAGCACTGGGGAGGCTGAAAACAGGAGGATCACTACAAGTCCGAGCTGCGTCGAGACCCTGCACATAAATGGAAAGAACTGACAAATATAAAGAAATTACAGTGTTTGCTGCTGCTTTCTGGGGCTGGACCTCAGGGGCACCGATGTTCCTGGAGATGGTGACCCAGTGGACCACGGCTTCCCGACAGGACCTTGTGAGGTGTCACCTGGGGGACTGGGCAGAGCCTGCAGAGGCTGCTGGGGTGTGGACCTCCCAGCTCACGAGAGGGGCACCTGGGAGGGAGCCTGTGGCACGTGGCCATGGTGGCGATGTGTGTAGGGCTGGCCATGCACAGCTGGGACCTGTGCTCCCAGCAAGCCCCCACCCTGGGGGAGGACAGACCCTTTGCGGAGCTATTCGGGGACTTTTCCAGCTGAATTCTGCTCATTTAGATGAACGGCTCACTTTCCCAGCAACCACTCCCTGCAGCCTGGGTCCAGCTCTCTGTCCTGGCCCTAACTTGCTCATGGCCTCGTGTGACTCATTCCCTTCTCTCCGGGCCCCTTCCTCCAACGCACTGGATACAACAGCAACAAAAAAGACCTTTCAGAGTATTTGTATGGAGGAGAACAGAGGAGAACAAAGATCTCGAATGTCTTGAGAAACATTTTTGAATCGTTACACACGCAAGTGCAACACCTTGCTAGGCATTCTTTATAGATATACTGGGAATCGAACTCAGGACCTTGCACTTGCCAGGTAGGCGCTGTGCCACTGAGCTATAGCTTCGGCCCTCTAAGCATTCCTGAATACAGTCATCCAAAAGACAATGGAGGCACTAAGAAAACTCTTCAAATCAGAAGTACAAAATCTTAAAACTGCACAGGGGATCCCAACAGGGAGCATGGGGTCCAGACTTGCATCCTTCACCGTGGCTGAGGATGCCTCAGGGCCTGAGTCCCAGGATGCCGAGAACACTGCAAAGATGAAGGGGGAAATCACAGCCACAGCACAAGCCAACACCATATGCGATATGAGTAACAGCCTAGAAAATACTGTTATATTTTTGTTTCCCAGATGGAAAATGAAATCTCACTGAGGTTGAAAAATCCTTCCCGAGGTCATTCAGCCGCTGAGCCCAGCTGCAAATTCATATCGGCTGCTTGCTCCTTCTATGCCCCCCACGAGAGCCACAGAGCAGCCCGGCACGCAAGGGTGTGGACAAGAACAACGGTGGGAGAACGCAGAGCCACACCAAGGCATGACCGGGGATGAGCGGGAAAGCATGTGAGCTGGTGATTTAGAACAGTCCGGAGACCGCATGGGGCATTGTCGCCCAAGGAAGGCCAGAACCCCGGGACCAGGGACACACCCGGGGACCCCTCCCCACTGTCAGTGAGAAGGCAGCATCATTGACAGCCTCCCTGTCCTCCCACTGTGGGGTCCTGGGGGGGTGACTTCCAGGGGGCTTTGACCGTGACCTCAAGCTCCTGTGTAGGGACGGTCAGGGGGTGTTGAAGTTGTTCTGAGAAAATGAGCTGCACCTCGAGCTCGCTCTTCTGGAGGGCAACAGTGATGGGGAGCCCCTGGCCCAGGCAGGCCTGAGTGTGTGCGGTGAGAAGAGCTTCCGAGGCTCCACTGAGGGGTCCACTTCACCCACCAGCCCCCTGGGCAACCGCACACCCCTCTGAGTTCCACAGCCAAGGCTGGGACTTGGGGAACCCACAGGGAACTCGAGGACAGCTTTGGAGAGGGCTACAATTTGTGGGAGAATCGCTCCTGCTGAGAACAGCCACGGTAACCACTCTGGTGCCGGGTCCTCTAACACTGCCTAAGCCTCCCAGGGGGAAGATGAGGTGCTTCCTGCTCTCGGTCCTCCGCGGCCCCGCAGAGTGGCTGCTACCCGTAGCCAGACACTAACCTTGTTCCCATTGTTGTACATGGCGACCAGGCAGTAGATGTGGTAGACGTGACCACACCGGGACAGCTTGCCCACCACGTCCGGCTTAACGGTTGGCTGTGGGCCCTTGTAGCCTGAGGGCGCCGTGAGGCGCTCCATGCAGATGGTGCAGTCCTGCAGGTGGGGACAGAGCAAGGGCTGTCAGCTGCCACCCACCCTGCACGCTTTGGGGCTACTCCTAGATCACCCACGAATCCGGCGGCAGGGGTAGTTTTAGGAATGTAAATATTGTTTTCCTTGCTTTGCAAAGTAGAATTTCCCAAGTAATTCCTGCTGTTGGAACCTGTTAACCCGGGCTCGCCAAGCTCTTCACAGTCTCTGAGGTTGCGCGGTCCTTCTGGGTGGGGTGCTCTGTAGAGCTCTACTCGAAGCGAGCTGCAAGGGAAGTGGACCTCAAACGCGAGGCGGCAGGAGGTGGGAGGGGCAGGGAGGAAACTGGAAGGGGAGAACGCCTATGTGCGGCTGCACATACCAGCGCCGCTAGGTAGGACAAACGCACTAGAAACAATTTTTAAAAATTAAACTATTTTAAAAGGATTTTGAAGGGCCAACCAAATACCTCAGTGGATTAACGTGCCTGCAAACAGGCGCAGGGGCCGGGGTTCGATCCCCAGGCCGGTTGAGCAAGCCTCGCCCCCAGGGCCTGCAATTGAGACTGGGTGTGGTGGCGTGCACCTGTAATCCCAGCTCTTGGGAGGCTGTTAACAGGTGGATCGCTTCGAGTCCGATCTAGTAGTGAGACCCTGAACACCCTGTAGACCCTTCCCTAAAGGATTCTGAATGTGCCAGAGAGGCTGTTGCTTCAGTAAATCTATAATGGGGTCGTCAATTTCAGCTCCGATTTTTAAAAACCCTGTCATTGGTTGTGCTTTGCACTGCCTTGTTGGGGCTGGTGCCGGGGGCCTGTCAGGGTTATCCTGCCTGCAGCAGGGGTCTCCGTGCTGATGCTGACTCGGGGCAGAAATGCGTCCAGGAGAGACCCTCGACCCCCAGCAAATCCATTTTATAGCCGGGGCAGCTACGGTTTTCCTTAAACTCTGATTGTCCCAGATGGGAGTGTGCTGAGGTTCAGGCGCAGCTGCAGCCCTCCACCATGAGCCTCGGAGCCCCAGTGTCAGACCGACCGCACTGCAGCAGCCTGGGGTCAAGCAGCTCCTGCTGCCACCCACAGAGCCCTGGCACAGAGGTGAGGCACTCAGGAGACCAGAGGTGAGCCCCACCTCACCTCCTCAGGTGGGTGCCGGACCTTCTGCAGATACTTCTTCAGCACCTCCTCCGGGGCTTTACCTGCGGGGAGAGAGGAATCACAGGTCACTACAGGAGGCAAGAGGCCCACCAGCCTTCCCAGCTCAGGCCTGCCGGAGCAGACATTGACAGTCAAGTGCTAGGCAGAAGAGGGGACCGGTTTGGTCTGCAAGTGGACTTAAGAGTGGGCGAAAGCCTTCAGGCAGTGGAAGAGCAAGCGGGCAAATGAGGAAGGACGCAGCACTGGCATCGACCTCCCCACCTGCAGTCACTTCCCCGACGCACCTTCGCCTGCTTCCAACTAACCCACAGTTTGGTGGAGGGCAAAGGAGTGTGTTTCTTTTCTTTATAATCAAACAGGATTGAAAAGGCAGAAGTGAAAGCAGTTGTATGCAGGGACACGTTCAGCAAACATTCATCTTTCTACAGAAAACCAGGAAGTTGTGACCCACAGCTCTGAGATAGTCAAGGCAGCCCAACTGTGGGGAGAGGAGGTTGGGGGTGTCCCGACAGCGGCAGTGATCTGGGGGCTTCCCCGGGAGCTGGACCCTCAGGAAGTGCCTGCCTGCAGGCAGAGGGCAGCGTGATGCTGCTTCTGAATCCCAGCAGGGCCACGCTGGGGCATTCTTTTAACTGCACTAAGCCTGTTTTCTCACCTATAAAGTGTGGAAGATTGATCGCTCCCGCCTCAAAGTGGTGCTTTCACTACTCACAGGCCGAAGGCAGCGCGGCCCCCGGCCCTCCCCCGTCAGGGTACAATCTGTGCCATTAATAACGGGAAGAGGGGGAAAGTGCAAAATCCTGTCCCTTCCCATCACACTGAGCAGGGCAATGGAGTGCGCTTAATTGGAGGAGAAATTTTAATAGACTAGAAAAGTAGGACGTGGATTTGAGGAAGCGGGTCGGGCGACAGCCAGGAGCGGAGCCGCAATGCCCTGCTTATCTTGGAGCATCAAGCTTCTGTGACCTGAACCCACTACAGCTTGCCTGCCTCAGGCTAAGGCACTAGCCAGAGGACCAGGCTGGAACCCCATGAGGGGCGGCCAAGGAGAGGACAACGTGATTTACAGAGCAGAAGAGCACTGTGCGCAGAGCTGGCCGCCTCTGGGAATGACAGGAAGGGGAGCCTGAGGGAGGGTTCACAGAACCGGGCACCCAGAGGAGCGAGAGGATGTGGATTGGGGCTACTTCCCCAAGTCAGGACACATTCCCGGGCTTCAGCGATCTGACCGAAATACACTGTGAAGGTCTAGATTGTTTTTAAAGAATATATTATAGTCAAGGACATCATCCTTAACCACTGCCCACCAGACCTCCTTGTTTTGAGCACCAGTTTTCTTGCCACTTTTTGAAGCAGTATCAGAAGTCCTCTTCCCTGGGTGTTTATGAAATGAGATAAAAATTTGGCAAATGTGGCTGTCACGAAGTGTCCAATAGCCAGGCTCAGAGAAATGTCACAGAGGGGCCCCATTTCCCTTGTCCCTTCGGCCTGGCTTTTGTTCAAGCTCCACAGTCAAAATGACCATGAAAGGGAAACACTTTAAATCGATCTGAGACGCAGAGGCTGGTATTCATGGGAAAGGACTTTAGAATGCTCCAGAACGGGGCAAGAATGGCAGGATGAGTGTGTCCAAGGCAGGGCCCACACTGAGGGAGCTCCATGGCGATGTGTCTGTCACTGTAAAGCATCATCTATTAAACATCCCTGTAGCTTGTGGTCACACCTCGCTCCTGCACAGCTCTGCTAGTGGACATTTTTTACCCCAAGACGGACAGAGAAGATAGCTTCCTGCGGCCACCCAAGTAGCAGGTGACACAGTCAGAACGTGAGACCAGTCTGATGCCAGGGTCCCATTCCCTTCTGATGTCAGCGTTGGGCACCACACTCAGCATCTCTGTTCTCTGGGGTTTTGCGCTACGCGCTTACATCTCTGAAGGTGCATCTGTCTGACCCGCACAACTCCTGGGGGTGTAACCACCACAATCTACTCTCGAGACCTCGGTAGGACACAAGGAACCAGCGCTACCCCTGGCTGCCAGCCACGCCTCTGGCCCTGGCGCATGTCAGAGGAAGAGGCTGGTACCTTTCTTGGCTTGCTTTTTGGTGGTCTTGCGGCTCATGTTGGAGACCCCTGGGATAGACTTTATCTCGCTCTTGCTGACCGGCGGCGGGTGCAGGACAAGCTTGGGCGGCCGGGTAAGGCACACGGGCAGCCCCGCGGCGCTCATCAGGATCCCGGTGATTCCTGGGGGCAGTGAGGGAGGCCTGGAGAACACACCAACCCCCACTCCCCCCCCCAGCCTGCTTCCCAGTCCGGCTCTCACACTCCAAGCACCCCGCCATCTCTCCAGCAGGGCATCCCACTGCCCCCCCCCCAAATTCCTCCACCATCCGATGGCCTCCCCTCGTTGCAAGGGAGGTCTGCATCCCCTCCCTCGGGCAGGGGCTCGGTCCTTCATTGCGCAGCCTGGGAGGCCCTTACCTGCCAAGGCGGGATTGACAGGGCTGGAGCCATTTAGGTTCTTCACGGGGACAGTGGGAACCCTGGGGAGGGAACAGCAGATGCATTAGGGTCCTGCTAGGTGGGATGGCTCCGTCCGGTCCATGTTTACGTAAAGTTCTTCACACCGCTGGAGGAGGCCAGCTGGCCATAGGACAAGTCTTCCCTCCTCCACAGAGGAGGAAGCCTGCCCGGCGAGGCCTTCAATCCCAGCTCTCCGGCCCCCTTCTCACCGGCCTCCCGGCCCCTCTCTGTCCTTCCCGCCTGCCAGGCCAGACCTCCGGACCTTCCCTGTGCTGGTCCCTCCATCCACAACTGCTTATGCCCCGGCCCAGCTTTCCCTCCTCTGTGAGACCTCTGCGGCCCCTGCCTGATCCTGCTACCCCTCTGTCCTGTCCCGGACTCCCATACCTTCTTACAGGCTTTATTATTTTTTTTTTCACAGAATTTAAGATCTTTTAAATACATCATGGCTCCTTCTAGAATGTCAGCTCTTCAAATATCTGCAGCACTAGCTGGCATTCTATCAAGGACCAGGAAGCAAGAAGCAAAGAAAGAACTGATTTCAGTGCCAGGCGTACGGAACAGCCGCTCAGGATAGACGTGGGTCTGCATCTTCCCCAGAGCTCCCGAGAACAGCAGATGCTACCAGCTGTGGTCCGGAGCATGGAGGCCGTGGTGGGACGGCCGGGCCTGCTCCAGCAGAGCAATGAGGGCCAGGCAGTGAGCAGGCTGGGCTGTCCAGGAAAGGCCAGTCCGCCCATGGAGCGGACCAGGACTCCGTGGGACACAAGGACATGCAGCAGTGTGCCGTGCGGAATTCCTCCTGCGCCAGGCCCCCACCGCCGCTGGCTGGGAAAGTCCTCTGGGGTGCACAGGGGCCTCCAGGAGTAGGTGGCTTTTCCGCTCTGGGGTGGGTAGTGCTGGGAAACTGGACAGAAAGAGGACTTGGAAAGCCCTGTGAGCCGTGCTCTGCCCTGGACATCACGCTCTGGGACACAGCCACAAGTGCGACCCCCACGGCCCTTCACCCCTGGTTAGGACCCTTCACAGGCCCAAGGCTCATCCCTCGCCAGCTGCCTGCAACATCGGCCCTGCTATGACCCGGCAGGATTCATCAGAAATATCGCATTTCACAGACACAGAAGCAGAGACTAGACACTGCTACACACGGGGCCTGGATTCCTGCAACAGTGAATGAGTACAGAAAATGCACCAGAGTAGCACTCTTGCCGTAAGAAAGGACACAAGAGAGTCACTTATGCAAAACAGATGCACCTTGGGACTGTAATGCCAAGTGAAACAAATCACAGAGGCTTAGACCCTACCACAGGGCTTCTCTTAGATGAAACACCCACAGTACAAATACAGAGCCAAATAAAAGACAGATGCCAGGAAATGGGGGCGGGGTGACTGCAGAGACGAGAGGGTACAGGGAAGGGCGGGGGGGGGGGGTGAAAGTGCACTATACTGTGTGTCCCCCACCTACTCCCCAAGAGGAACACAATTCTTATGGATCACAAATACACACCAGTGAGGCTCTTCTGGTGGACGCCCCAACTTGGCATGGACACCTGTTCTCCCCAGCTCCAGCTGATAAGGCTGCTCTGGAGGACCAAAGCCACCTTTGTTCCCACAAACTGGAGGAGCAGGTTTCCACACCCAATCTGATCATCCGGGCAACTCTCCCCCTCCAGAGGGGAGGAGGGGGCCTCAGGGCCACTGACACAGGCAGCCTCTGCTGGGCTGGGGCAAAGCAGACCCCGCTGGGGGATTTGCTGGTGGGCAGTGAGGTACACAGGAAGGAGCCCTAGGCTGGGGCCAGGCATCTGCATCTCCATCTGTGCAGCTCAGGCTGAGCTCCGCTTGCCCCAGGAGAGCCACCAGCCCCTCCACCCTTTCCCATCTGTCTGGGGTTCCTATGATCCCCAAGATCTAGATCCACTTGGCTGTAGTACACCCTGGGTGCCTGTTTGCACCCTCACTGACTGGAGCATGTGCTGGGCACCACACTGCCATTTAGGGTTGGGGGGTCCCAGGTTTTCCAGCTTCTTAGGGACAGGTGGAAAGTAGCAGGTGGCAGGCACAGAGGACTGCCCAGCTGGCAGCACCCGAGGTCCTCCTCCATGGCTCCTGGATAGAGGGAAACCTGAGTCACCCTGGTCCTGCCCAGTTGGGGCCCAGCTGTCCAGCCCAGGGACAGGGAGGTGCCTCCCATCCCACAGGCCATGGGCTCCAGCGAAGCCCCCCAGACATCCCTTGAGCTGTTCCTGACAATGGAGGGTCTGCATTTTATCTCTGTTGATAACACATAAAACTAAGCAGAGAAGAGCTGGCAGGGTAGCGGGACAAGGGTAGGGAGGAGGGGAGGTGGCCCTACAGACAAAGCCAAGAGAGGTAGCTCTTCTGAGTTCCATGCCAACCTGAGTCCCAGGGTGGGACCACGGCCCGTCTCTATGGCAACCAGCCCTGCTGGAGATGAGGATTGAACTGGGGAAGGTGACAGGGTAGGGGGCTGAGGACCTGTGACTCCTGCCCTCCTGGCGCCCCACCCCTCCAGAAGCCCTCATCTCTGAATAACTCCTGCAGTCTTTTGTTCCCTGCAGCCCCTCTTCATCCCACTGCTCTCATCCTCCTCTCTTCCTTTTGCCGTGGGAAAGCTGCCTGCAGAGGTCACGGGCAATGGGGCGGGGAAAGGGCTGCACAGTGACAGAAGGTGAGTGAGGACGCCAGACAAAGGGAGTGAACATGCTCATTAAGTGGCCAAGAAAGACTGGGTGAGGAGACAGTGAGGACAGCAGGGAGAGGTGAAAAGGAAGGGCCTGAGGACAGACTGGGGTGGCCGGCCTCGTCGTCAGGCCAGGAAGGAGAAGAAAACATCTCTCTAAAGCCCTCTGAAACTGTGGGCCAGCTCCTCCTGGCCAGGAAGGCAGAGATGAAGGCCGTAGACTCCCTCATTGAGATTCAAAGCCATGCGGCAGGCGGTGCCACCTCGGCTCCCCCGTGGCAGGGGTCACTTGGCATTTGGCAGGGGTGCTGGAGATGAGGAGGCGGGGCCTGCCCAGCTTTGACCGCATTCCAACAACTAGGCAGTGCACCAGTACACGCCCACTAACGACATAATGACACTGCTGATAGCAGCTGCTGCTGACCAGTCTCGTATGTGCCCAGCACTGAGCTGCACCTACGCACCCCTCTCCCTTGATTCTGCAGATCCCTCACAGGAAGGAGGATGCTGCCACTACACTCCCCACAGAACATGCACTGCGCCCCAGCTGGCACAGCAAGGGGCCCAGGCACCTGCCGGATCTGGCAGTGCCAAACCCTGGGTTCCGACCCTTCCTCGGCAACCTATGAGCGTGCGGCCCTCCATGGAGTGCACACTGAGCTCAGTGCCCCAAACGGAGCGCCATCTGGGGATTCCCACGGGACACTGACAGCGCTGGCTTCCCGAGGAGCAGAGAGGGAGGCGTGGCGGCTGGGCCCTGACTGCCAGCCCGGTCCTCCTTCTACTCTGCGGCATTCACTCCTTCCTGCTCAAGCAGCTTGCTGTGTGCAAAGATCCAGGCTTGGGTGCCCAACCCTAGGCCCAGTGTACCCTGACCCTCCGGGGCACTGAGCCCGTGGGCAGAGCCGGGCCCTTGAGGAAGACTGGGGAGAACAACCGGAAGCGGGGCTGCGGTCCTGACCTGGGCCACCTTGAGTCTGTGGCCAAGAAGACCAAGAATGCAAAACGCAATGGTACCAGGAGCTGCCTTGCCCTGAGGCTGTCACTGGCGCAGCAGGGACGGGCACTGACCATGTGCCCGCCTGAGGGCCCTATAGTACAGGGTCCCATGCCCCACGTCCACGTGGCCTCTGCCAGCGACCAGCTCTGTACTCAGGGCCATTGCAAGCATGAAGTGAGACTGACACAGGGTGGCGGCTCTGTCACACTGCTTATGATGACCTAGTGCAGACATCAGCTTGAATCCTCACAGGTGCTGAGAGGCCCATGCCTGACTGTGTGTAGTGAGGGCAGAAGGGCTCTAGGACTCTATGCGCCTGGCCCCAACTCTCACAGCCACATGGACGGAGGCCACGAGGAAGGAGCCCATGTCTCACTTAGAATTCACACCCGCTAGGGCCCGGGGTGAACCCTTCCTGTCCACACTGCGCTGCATCTACCCACAGCCAGGGCTCAGCGCCCCTTGACTCTGACCCCAGAGATGGACAGCGGGCCCCATGCTGAGGCAAGCACCTACCCAGAGGCAATCAGCACCCGGGACTGGGCGATGGCCAGCCGCTGTAGGCTGTTCCGATTCAAGGTGGCCAGGGCTGCCCTCCCAGGCCTGCTGTCAGCTCCAGAGGCACTGGCAGGAGAGCCCGCTGGGGTCCCTGTTCCTGTACTGGTGGCCTGTCTCCGGATGGCCTGTACTGGGGCAGGCTTGCCCAGGCCTCGCACGGTGCCCACACCATCTGGAAGCTTGGCCCCGGGCCCTGAGGCTGGAGGTGGCTTTGTGGCCCCTGAGGGGGCTGCAGTGTTCTTGCGGGTCGCTGTAGAGGGCTGTGGTGCACTGCCCCCGTGGGCCACAGCCGCCTTCACACTCATGACCAGCACACACTGTGGACAGGTGCAGGGTGGCCCCGGGGGCATGGTGGGCGATGCAGGGCTGAGTGGCCAGGACTGTGGCTTGGGCAGGGAACCAGCGACCATGGGGTAGACAAGGTCCAGGCGCCGTCGCACGCGGCGCTGGCGCTGCGTCTGCCGGTTGATCTGGCCCATGGTGCTGAAGTCGATGATGTAGCTGAAGCCGATGGGTGTGAGGTCGACCCAGGGCCGCTGCTTCTCGTAGGCCTGCTGGATGGCGATGCCCACCTCCATGTCGTAGGGCGTCCAGGAGCCACGGTCGTTCTCCCACTCCCACACCACGCCCTTCCCAGGGGCCGAGGATGGGTCGTAGTAGTTGCGACGAACTGGGCGCAGCGTCCCTGCCAGGGAAGGACAGAGCGGAGGTCAGGGCAGCATCACACCAAGCGGAGCTGCTTTCAGGGCCAGACATGTGAGGAGTCTTACTGCGAGGCAGGCACTGTGAAGCCTGTTGAGGGGACATCTTTTGAATGATCCTCATTTCTGCCTTTTACTGATATATTTAAGATTTTAATCCTGGACATGGAACCTAAAATCTTCCCACTGAGTTACATCCCCAGCCCTTTAAAATGGTTTTCAATTTTTGTGACAGGGCATCATTAAATTGCTATGCTGGGCAAGCTAGGTTTGGACTTGGGTTCCTCCTGCCTCAGCCTCCCAGAGTGCTGGGGTTGCAGGTGTGTGTCACCCTGTCCAGCTTTCTTCCCGTCTCTAAGGAGTCTTCAAGCAAGCCAGGCTGGAAGCAGAGAAAGCAGTGTGAAGCAAGTAGGGAAAGTTGGTACCAGACAGTGGAGAGAAAGCCTTCTGGCTTGCAGTTACAACAGCATGGTTTGCAAACAAATTAATTCACTTAGTAGCTGATAAAGAAGCCTGGGCCAGCTCTCTTGCCTGAGAAACAGGACGAGCCCTCTTTCCCAGGGGTTCTGTAAAACTGAGATGTGACTCATTTGTTCAACTCGACAAATATTTGTACACATCAAGGGCCAGATCTCACACACACACCCTGCGATTTACACGGGGACATACAAAGCCCTGGACACAGACTGGGTACCCAGAAACACCCCACGCCTTCTCCTGTCCCTCTGGCTGCCCTGCTTCAAGGGCGACAGGGGAAAGGACATGGGGCTGGCAGGGCACCGAGGACGCAGAGACAGCTTTGCTTCCATCGCAGAGCCATCGTAGCTGGCCGTGGCTTTTCAGGGAGCAACTGACCAGAAGGTGTGTTACTGCAGGGAGGCAAATCAGCGGAAGGAACTTACAGATAAGTTCAGCATTAAATCTTAGGCCCACAATCACAGCATTCTCTCTCCACGCACATGTAGGTACTTTCGTGATCATCCTAGGTCTTTCTTTCAGAAGCCTCGACCCTGCTGCAGATGGTGAGCTGTATTTGGGTAGTCTCACGTGGGTAAGGAAGAGGCTAGGTCAGCCTAACAGCAAGCAGAATGGACCCCTTGGAACTCGGAGGAGCCAGGGCCTTGGGGGACAACTGCTCCTTTCCCTGCTACGCACCCCATGCTGGGCCCAACCTGTCCCCATGAGGCCAGGGCTCCTTGCAGCCCAGGACACTGGACTGTGGTGGAGTGGGCTGGGTCAGGCCCAGAGTGGGCAGGGAGGGCTTTGGGGTGCTGGGCTCCCTTGGCCCAGCCAGATCCACACAGTGATGGGAAAAGGCTCCTTCTCCCTGGCCTCTGACCCGCCCCCTCCTGCAGCCCAGGGGAGACCCCCAGACTGGGACAGAATCCCATTCAAAGGGGGAAGAAAAGGAACAATGGCTATTCAGGCTCCTGCCAGGGTCAGAACCCACTCCCCAGCCCATCTCCGAGCCCCCTAATGACCCAAAACATCAACATTCAGAGGCCCAGCGAGGGGCAGAACAATCCACTATTCAAGCCCAGGCCTCTGCTGGGGGAGCTGGGGGAGCTGGGGTCTTGGGCTAGGAGGAGGGGCACAAGCACAGGCAGTGGCCTGCTCGGCCCCATTTTCTTCCCAAGGGCCTGCTGGCTGGGGTACGGAGATGAGGGGAGTCCCATCCCGGCTAGCTCTGAGATCTAGCCTCTGTTCCCATGTGCTCCCCCTCAGTGGCCACTTCAACAGGTGGATTTGAGGGGCGGCTGAAGATCAAACCACCCAAATGGCACCTGTCACCAGACAACGGCTCAGTAAGCCATGATTATTGTTGGAATCTGCCCTACTACATGGAGACTGCTAGGAAAGTGTGGTTCAGGGGATACAATGTGTCTTTGCTCCTCTTTTTCTTTTTCTGTGGCATCCAACTACATTCATTCCCACCTTAAGTCACTCAGTTGTCCAGGCAGGGCTCATACTTATGACCCTCCTGCCTCAGCCTTCCAGAATGCTGGGACACAGGTGTGGGCCACCATGCTCAGCTCTCTGGCCATTTCTACTCACTGAAATTCTGATCTTTTAGGTCCTATGCCATTTCCCAATTATTTCTTGAAACATTCTCCCAGCTAAGTCTCCATGTCAGGGAAGTCTGGGGTTTGGATGTGGATGATCCGCACATGCCAGGTGTGCACGCCTTTTATGAGGGCTGTGAGTGGGCGCGGGGAGGCTGCCTGGGTAGGTCTCTGTACTCAGGCCTCATGCAATGCCTAGCAGTTGAGGTCCCTGTAGCCTGCACCAGGATGGACTGAAGACTCTAGCTGCCTGCCACTGAGCCATGGATCACAGACTGCTGAGCGCCCATTGGTTGCTATGGAGAAAGCAGAACTCAAGCAATCCTCAGGCAGTGCAGGACTCCAGCGGGGTCAGAAGACAAGTGTGTGGGGCTGCTGCGGTGCCTGCTGGCAGTAAATTGGTGCACCTCCCCCCTGGCTAAATCCCTTCCAGGACTTCCCTTCCGATCCCTCCGCCGGGGTCCTGAGCTGGTCCAGTCCCCCAGTTCTGCTCCCTAGTTTTGCAACACTCATCTGAGTCACACAAGTATGCACATCTAGTTTCATGATGGTTCCTTCCTGGGGGTCCCTGTCCTGCGAGAGTGGCCGCAGATGCGTGTCCTCCCAGCTTTGTCCCACATGTGAGCCATGTCCAATGGGCTCGGAAATTACTCGTGAAATGAGGTCGCCATGGTTTGGGGCACACTGCAGGAAGTGGATGACAAAGTACACAGGGGTGGATTGATGAGAACAGCAATGGCAAGGCTGGCAGGGAGTGACTTTTGTGGAAGGGACCCTGTAAATAGCTAGGGTGGGGGGAACTCTGGGAAATTAGAAGGCAACTCAAAAGGAGACAAAACTCCCATGTTAGGCAGCACTCCCCGCAGGGAGAGAAGGCACCCACAGAGAAAGACAGATAGCTCCTAGGCAGGGGAACTGTCCTTGTTTAGGGGGAGTCTCTGGTTCCCAGCTTTAAACTGTGGCGTGGGGACTTGGGTAATTTAATTAAATGTTGCTGAGAGCTAGTAGTTCTTGTTCCTGCTCTGTCAGGGACTCATCAATGAGCTATACTGAGAGGAGCTGCATGGGCTTAGTGGGGAAAAGAGACTTGGGGGCTCAAGCCCACAGCCCCAGGGCCCCTGGGCCCCTGTTCTGCTTTGACAAGTTCTCCAGCTCCGAGCTCAGCCCTGAGCCTTCGGAGCAGGTGCAGGGCTTGGCTCTCAGGAGAGACGCTCAGGAAGGGGGCGTATCTGGCTGGTGAGGGACACAAAGCACACCCGGGCGGTCCTGTGAAGATCCAGGGCCGGTCCCTGCCTCAGCCCTAAACGCTGGCTGGACCACTAACTGGCAGGCAGTGGCTGTAGTGACCGGCCCCTGGCAGGTAGCTTGTGTGCACCCGCGCCGGTAGCTTCCTATCTCTCCAACTTTACTAGTCAGAAGCATCCTCCGGGATGTCAAAGGCCCCTTCCACACACCAGCCTGAGGACACCCAAGCACAGGTTAAACCTCTGTCCTTCCCTGAAGCAGGACAGCAGCTGGGCCTGCACAGGGTCAGGGTGGTTCTCCATATAGGCAGAGATTTAGTCTGAAGTAGAAGAGCTAGCGCCAGCTACTTATTCTGAGCAGAACAGGTGTACCCTGTCAGGTGGCCTCAGACCTGGTCCCATCCTTCGGGATCCGGTCCCCTGTCTCCGTGGGTCCAGCACTGCTGCAGCCTCTCGGCAACTTGCACAACAGCCTTCCCTCCCCTCCGCGGCCACACCTAATCCTTTCCCAGTCTCCCCACATTCCTCCTCCTCCCTCTCCCCTCCTCCCTCCTTCCCGGTCAAGGCTTAAGCCTGCCAGATGTGAAAACTTCTGGAACCGTTTCCCCAGCAAGCTGCACTCAATCGGCCAGTGTCTGCAGAATCCTTGGCAAAGAGGCTGCTGGCGCTAGGATGAAAGTGCGGGCCGAGGAATGAGACCCTTTCCCATGACAGCCTTCATTAGCACACAGGATGCGCGGATTTCCTAGGGAGCTGGCCGCCCAGCTCCAGCAGCTGTTCTCGCAGCCACGGGGTCCTCCTCCTCCGCCTCGTCCGCGTCATCCTCCCTCCCTGTCACACCTGCTCTCCGAGCTCCAAGGAGGCGGACGTCACACTCCTGGGATAACCCAACCAGAATTCTAAAAAACGCCCCCTCACCACCCCAAAGGAGAGGAAAAAGGAGACAGATTTGTTCCCGGTCAGCAAGTACAGGAAAGAGGCTCGGCCCCGCGCGTGCCCCCCAGGGTGCCCCCTCCGGTGGCTCCTGCCCCTAGCCCTGCAGACTCGCTGCCCCGCGGGAAGGAGGCTCGTGGTGGCCTCCGTGGCAACTCTATTCTCGCGGGAAGACAGTGCAGCCGCGCTCGGCAGCCAGCAACCCCCGCGGCTGCGGATTCCGAGACGCTCGCTCGCTCCCGGCGGCTCCAGCATAGGAATCCGCCTCGCGGCCTCCAGGGACAAAGGCAGGCCCCGCCCGCATGGTGCCTGCGGGCATCCCTGGCTGGCCCGGCTGCTCCCTCCATCTGCTCGGCCTGTTGCTTCGGCGCAGCCCGAGCGCACACGCTGCCGCCCCGGGGATGCCGCGGCAGCCGGGAGGTGCCACCCCCGGAATCCCGCGCCTCGGGTCTCGTCTCCCGGGGACGACCGCCCCCTTGCCAGGCTGGAAGCAGCCGGCGCCCGCGGGGATCCCTCTTCCTCCGCGCTCACCGCGCC